GATGGTGGAGCGTTGATAGTGCTACGCCGAAATAACAGATTTGCAACTTTTTTTTAGTCAAGAAGCAATACAAAAAAGAAAAAATCTCCCACTCCTCCTCACTGAAACATTCATCGCAGTGGCAGCTCCTCCACCTTCTTCGTCCCAAAACGCGACTCTTAACTTCACAAAAAAGATGAACGAGGTTGTATCTTGTAATTGTAATTGCATTTTCCAAATTCCCAGTTTGCAGATTTATTTTAATTTGTATTAATAATGTATAATCTTCATTTCAAAAATATTTTTTTCACCCGAGTATTTGTTTTCAATTAACCTGAACGTCATTTTCACAGATCGGGTCTCATGTACTGTAGGTCACGTGCTCAATCTGTAAAGTGCCACACAGCAATCAGCGTGTTATCTCTGAACTCACAATTGCATTATTAAGAAGAGAGTGACACATTGCTCAAGGGGTTAAAATGATTGTAGTTTCTCATATGTTATTACTTTAGCTAATGCTCTACGCCAGGGCATATGTAAAAAAAAACTTGTACGCCCGGTAGTAATGGTCAAGAGATTGGCAAGCTATTGCAGCAAAACCTTCCCGGATTAGGAATACCGCAGCAAAGCAGAAAGGTACCTAAAGATTTTAGGAGTAGTAACAGTAACCTTTAAGAGAAGTTGCTTTCACTGAGACTTTATCTGGGATAACATTAGTGTTTCACTATAGTTCTACTAGTTAAAAATAGTCTGGTATACGTTTTTAAAAGTTATTTGATATGAAATGTGTGCCCAAAAGGGAAATGTGTCTGAATTGCCCGACAAGCAGCAGTTCAAAATAACCTGTTTTAACTTTCAAACTCTTGCCATGGGCTTTAAAATCACAGGCATGTTAACAAATAAAGCCAAAATGTATTAGTTGTTTCTTTTAGGCCACGTAAGCATTAACTTACATTGATTACACTAAGGGGTGGAACCGGCAGTACGGGAATAATTACGATGGTGGAGCATCGATAGTGTTACGCCAAAATAACAGATTTGCACCTCTTTTTAGTCAAGAAATACAAAAAAGAAAAAATCTCCCACTCCTCCTCACTGAAACATTCATCGCAGTGGCAGCTCCTCCACCTTCTTCATCTCAAAACGCGACTCTAGCTCCACAAAAAAGATGAACGAGGTCGGACTTTGTAATTGGAATTGCATTTTCCAAATTCCAAGGTTACAAATGTATTTCAATTTCTATTAATAATATTTAATCTTCGGGTAAAATATTTTTTTCACCCGAGCATTTGTTTTCAATCAACCTGAACATCATTTTCACAGATCGCGTCTCATGTAGGTCACATGCTCAATCTGTAAAGCGCCACACAGCAATCAGCGCGTCATCTCTGAACTCACAATTGCATTATTACTGAGAGAGTGACGCATTGCTCAAGGGGTTAAATTGATCGTAGTTTCTCATATGTTATTACTTTAGCTAATGTAGAGTGCTAAAAAAAACATGCATGGCAGCGACAGAGTTTTATTTTTGTGTGGTTACTGCGCATCTGCAACCTTGCAACCTGGTAAAGGTCAGGTGAAGTCTATTTTCTAAATTAGACTCCGGTTTTCTATGCTGTGTAACCAAAGTGGTAAAAAATACTGTTTTTTACATTGGGTGTCAGCAGAAGTCTCTGTCGATTTTCCGTTAAGACCAGGTTCAGTAAAACATCATGCAAACGGTGCCCTTTTAAGAGCTCCCATTTTACTATCCTGAAAGCAGCTAATTCGTTTGATAAAAATCGATGTGTATATCAATAAAGATGTACATTTGTACAGTTCAAGATTTGTAAAAACTCGTGGGAAGGCATGGGGGTGTAGCGACGCTTTCCAGCACGTGGTGAACCGAAGCGACAGCCAGTAAGAGATGGGAGTCGCAAAAGCATCGTTGGCCGGGGAAAGGAGCAAAAGAAACGTTTTTTTTTAAAGGTGACATTTTATAAATGGAAATACAAACATATCCAAAAACGATAACAAGTAAAGAGTGGGGTGTGAATTCGAGCACTGGTCTTGTTACTTTTGTATGTGTGCTTACTTTATTCACCTACTATAAGTCTGTTTCTGCACTGCTGAGTACATTTCCAGGAGCCGTTTGTTTTACACCAGAACCACACATCATATTAAGAAAATAAGTATTTCCCACAAGACTGTCACAGAACACTATACTGATCATCTAGTAGTTCCAAACAGCAGCCAGTTCTGTCTAGGGCCTGTTCTAGAAAACATGTAATGAAATACATACTCTGTATGCACAATCCATATCTCTACTGAATTTCTTTATGACTTCAAAATACCTTTTTTCCTTCTTATGTTTTATGGTCCCAATAAATTAATTCTCTAATCACACTGTCTTTTCTTCTGATATTGCCAAGTTTTTGTCCTCTCTACCAGATTATGAACAGTGCATGATAA